TTACTAGGTATTTTTAAATTGTTTTGACTTGCGTTGGAAATAAATTATAAAAATAAAAAAAATATATTATCTCAATATATTTTTAAATAAAAATATTTTAAAAAATAATTAAGCCTTCCACTGAATTTGAGGTGGATTAATATTCTATTTTTTTAATCAATTTAGTTGTTGGAGGACATATTAATTAATTTAATCAGCTTCAATATTTTACTTGGATTTAACCAGGTCAGTGTTTAAACCGGTTTAGAATCAAATTTCGGATTACAAGTTCACCGGGTCAATTAGCCAGCTAAACAGGATTTAATAACCATGATCAGAACTTTACCATCGAACAGTTATAAATTAAAGGGACTAAAATAAAGCTGACCCTTTCTATACTCTTAGTTCTTGAAAATAAATTCTTTTACGCGAGACTAAATTTATAACAACGACAGCAACAACAAACAAAAAAAAAAAAAACACCAACGCCTGTCCACCACGTTGCTCAAGTGACAAAGTCTTGCACTCCCGGCAAACTCGAGGTCTTCCTCTTCCTTTCTCTAATTAATTAGATCAGAAAGTAGAATTTCAAAACCTGTCGTTTAAACTGAATCAAACTGTCTAGTGTTGTAACTAATACCTAGAATCTTACATCTTCTACAGATTCTGTTTGGTTGCTGAGAAAATCTAGGAAAAATCAGGTAGAAAATTTGTGGTTAATGCGTGCTTTTACTCTTTATCTTCTTTGAATGAAAAATCCAAACGTGGGTTTCGAAGTTTTGGTTGTTGGATAATGAATTCCTTCGGTTTCTTTGTTTGTCTCGCTTTTTTTTAGCTTTTCTAGTAGCCAAACACAGGGTTAGGGTTGAATTCTTTAAACTGATGTTTCTATTTGGTAGGTTTCAATTAAGATTAGATGGATACTTGTTTACATCTGTGAATTTGACGTTTCCGTTTTAAATCTGAGGTTTTTCTGACTGTTGGAGCTGTCTCTGTGGCCAACTAGATATGTTTGTTGTATGAATTTTATGGTCAATCTATAATCATATAATAATTTGTGAACTGGTTTTTTTTTACTATTTTTAATCTTGATAAGAATTTTGTGTTTTGTTGCTGAGGTTTGAATGTTGTCTGATTTTATAGATACTTTAAAGGAATAATTTTGAGAGATGAGTAGTCAGAAAGGCTTGATATATAGTTTTGTGGCAAAGGGAAATGTGGTGCTAGCAGAGCACACATTGTATTCGGGGAACTTTAGTACCATTGCTGTTCAGTGTTTGCAGAAGCTTCCTTCAAATAGCAGCAAGTACATGTACTCTAGTGACGGGCACACATTTAACTTCCTCATTGATAATGGATTTGGTATTGTTTTGTTCTTAGTGGCTGTTGATGTAGAGTTTAGGTTCTTGCCATAGGGAAATGTGTGCTAAAGATTTTTGTGTTGGGTGTGCAGTTTTTCTCATTGTTGCTGATGAATCAGTTGGGAGGGGTGTGTCTTTTGTGTTTCTTGAGCGAGTGAAGGATGATTTTAATCAGCGGTATGGTGCCAGTATTAAAAATGAGGCGCACCCACTAGCTGATGACGACGACGACGATGACTTGTTTGAAGACCGATTTAGCATTGCCTACAATCTTGACAGAGAATTTGGGTGTGTATGGTACTGTGTATGTCAAATTTTAAGGTTTCTGTTGTTGCATGTTTCATTAACTTTTGATATTCTGTTTTCACGTAACAGGCCAAGACTCAAGGAGCATATGCAGTACTGCATGAACCACCCAGAAGAGATCAGTAAGCTCTCCAAGTTAAAGGCTCAGATAATGGAGGTCAAGGGGATTATGATGGACAACATTGATAAGGTACATGTTTCATGTTTTGTTGAAAGTAATGTTGGTGATAAACATATTCATGTTTAGCATTCAAATACAAAATATACTTTCTGTTCTTTATTTTCTCAGCATCATAATAAGATGGAGATTTTTGCATGAATGGATACTGTTGAGTCTGATTTCTTTTGCATATACTACTAGTGTATTTGTATGAATGTGGTTTTCTTCTCTTCCTTTTGTTTGGTGGTGGGAGGGGACGTGGAATGTGTAAAATTGCTCTGTGTTACTCTATTTGCTTGCTATTCGGTTGATTCTGGACATCAAGGTGTATGTGTATTGACTGCTTATTTGATAGAATGTCAAGAGTGAAGTGAACCTGTCAGATAATCATCTTGATATTATTCCACTCAATCTAATCCACTTTAGGAATGCCATTTCTTAGTGGAAGCCATTGAGGATCATGGCATGTTATCTCTGCATAGGATAACTATCATCAGCACTTCTCTAGTCATAGATGGATTGGCTATTGGTGACTATTGAGAAGGCCTAATTAGAGTTGAACCATCATTTCTCCAATGTTTTAACACACTGTATCATGTTATTATTAGATGGGGCTGAGCATGCAATGAATTCACTTGTTAAATCTACTTAGGGATCAAAATAGGCATCTTCTCAATTGTGTCATTTTCACCTTGAAATTCAATCATAGATTCCTTACCTGGAGATCAGTAATTTTACCTGGACAAAAGATCTGGTTTGATGTTTGTGGATATAGAATTTTATGTTTGTAAGCATCAATTACATTGTATAATGAAGTATTTGTAGACCACTTTTATAGTTGACATGCAACACAGTGGCTAAGATTGACAACAGCAGTTGCTACTATTATTCGATTGATATTTTCATGTCTGCAAGTTGAGTGGTTTGGAGTTGGTTAAGTTTGTTCATCACCTGGAACAAGTTAAACCACTCTTATACAAAGCTAGTTGATTTATATTCTGTGCAGTAAACTAAGATTGTTTAAATTTCATCTTTAGTCAAGCAGCTAAGAGATTAACAAGTTTTTGTTGAATATGTTGCCTAATTCAATGAATTTCAGGTTTTGGACCGTGGAGAGAGGATTGAACTTTTGGTAGATAAAACAGAGAACCTCTCGTTCCAGGTACATGCTATTCCTTGGTTAGTTCTGAAAGCAATTTTGGGGGACCTTGTAACAATGTGCTTGTGTCCTTGTATGTTATAATGCAGGCTGACAGCTTCCAGAGGCAAGGAAGGGAATTGCGACGGAAGATGTGGCTTCAGAATCTGAAAGTGAAGTTACTCATGGGAGGAACAGTCCTTATCGTGATTGTGATAGTGTGGATGACCATTTGTGGAGGTTTCAAATGTTAGACTGCTGGTGTAGCAAGATGGCTAATGAAGTAGCATTTGCAGTTGCTTTTATAATTTGTTGTACAAAGAAATATTGAGGAGCTCTTCTTATTACCCATACTCAATTCTAAATCTTCTATTCCCTCATCCCCCGCTACTTCTGAAGGCCGAGCAGGGTTTTGGTTTCTCGTCAGCCCACTGCATCTGCTTGACTTGTTCTAGTGGTTCTTGCTTTGGCTTTTCCTCAGAATCCCCACACCGAACGCTAGATGTTGATGAGCATAAGTAGGCGTGAACCCTCTGGTAACCTGCAACCAAGTGCAAGGCCTGATTGATGGTTAGGATCCGATCAGCTATCAGCTCCTCCGATGAGCAAGTCAGCCTTTGGTGATATAATAATATGTATGGGGAATTGCATCGTACGGGTCTTTTATCTTACATTAAATTTTACTGCATGTGTATATGTATACAGGTGAAATAAATCTCCGAATTCCCTTTCATACAAGCCCAATAAGAAAAGAGTCACGAAGAGGTACATGAACTTGCCTTTTTTTCTCGATGATGCCATGCCCGTATTGAATGCACTCAAGCTGCACATAATTGGACTTCAACTTATAGCATGATGACTGTCATATTGAAGAATAATGGGCCGTGTTATAGGCACGCTCGTCATCGGATATCTTACGAATCGGCAGGATGTGAAAAAAGCTACCTCGTCCTTCGATATCTGTGTTTTACTTCTTAGACCAAGCCTAGGATATAGCTAGCATTAAAGTAATTAAACTCGGTTTGTTATATAATCCTGTCCAAAATTCAGGGATTAAGGGTTAGACAGGTTGATTGAGGTTAATGCGTTTCAAATGATATTGATTTGAATATTTTTAAGAAAAAAAAGTTAAATAAAGATTAATCGGTTGATTTCCATTTTTTTTTTGAAGTCGGAACTTGAGTCGATAAGCTGATTTTAATAACATCGGCTATCATATTTCCCATGTGAGTAGAGGTGTGCTCTGGTTAACAGGCAGAAGACGGAAAATTTTTCGCTCACGGAAGGTAAAGACACGCGTTACAGGACAGCCTGCTTCAATTGGTAATGAGTGCCTTTGCTTAGTATAAATAAGCCAATTAGACCTACCATAATTGAAGAATATGCATATTTAATTAAGAAGCAATCATCCATTCTTTGATATCACTATGGTCTTGTAATTCCTCATCATTTTTTTTAGTAATTTACGTTGACTATAAATTAATTAATCATTGCCAACACTAGGTTATTAAATCCAAAACATATACCTAATTAAACATGATTACTTAATTAAAACCTGAAATTGATCGAAAATTCCTTTCATTATTTAATTACAAGACAATAAACTCCTATTTGCATTCTCAAGAATAAAATAAAATAAAAAACCATAAACTCCTATTCGAGTATTAATTAATTAATAACGACTTAACATAACTACTTAACGATATATTTGTAATTATCAAGAATTAATTTTTAATAAACAACATTTTAGCAAATTAAGTAACTAATAACAAAAACAATTGTATCAACCAAGATCAGGTTCCTGAAACATTAATCTATAAGGAATCATATATGATGTATTCTTAAAGTAACCCAAAATGAATTAACGGTATCAACTAACTCCGTTGACTAAGAAAGGCGCGAAGGAGTTCATGATTTTAAAGTTCCTACATATTTTTAATGCTTTATATATATATATATATATCTTCTTTCATCCATTTTCATGTTTTTGCTTTGCTTCTAGAAAATAATTAGCGGGATTGGATGTTAATTAATTTACATCTAATTCATTTGAAACAAAATATGGGAGAGAAAGTGCTCGTGGTTTTTACTATTTTAAATTTTTTTGAAATTTAAGTACCATGACAATTTTGAGTTCCACAACACAAGAACTACTCTTTCTTGACCCGCATAATTCCATTATCCATTTTTTTTTTAAAAAAAAAAACCCCACCACCTAAGGGTGTTTGGGAAAAATAAAGGGGAAACTAAACACATGCCACACTGCGCTAGGCAACGACAACATAACCTGCAAAAGGTTAACAATAACAACAGCAGCAGGCGAGTCTACTAAGAAAAAAAAGTTAAACACCGACCATGAAAAAACAAGAACACAGAAAACAACTAACGCCTATTCAATAGTGCCAGTGGTCTCTTCCTCCTCCATGATCTCTTCCTCCTCTTCAATGTCAGAGCTCTCATCATCGGAAACCACAAGGGTTAGTCTCAAACGCCCACCTGCGCGGTTAGCACGCAAAATATCTCCTTGAGGGATTTTTATCTCCTCAAGCTCAAAACTGTCATTTTCTTCAGTATAATTGAGGTACCTATAAGGCATACCTTTGTTAAACAATCTCAGGCAAGAGATTGGTGGAGGTAACAATCCCTTTATCCTAGTTGAATTCCCAAAAGCCACGTACTTTCTTGCATCCACATTCATGATCTCCTCTTTCTGATCAAAGGTAGCTTCACTCATCACGTCAGAAAGATCAGTCAAGCAAGATGGTGGTGGGGAAGATGAATACGGTAATGTTGCATCTAAAGAGTTGATGGAGGATAAAGAACTCTCTTCAAGAGGAAGGTCAGAAAAGCCATCATCAACATTGGTGGTTTCATTGGTGTTTGAAAAAATTTCATAACCCCATGTTGCCGGTATGGATTGAGACCTCACGAGGGTTGGTGGGTGTGATGGGGACTTCGGCAGGTCTTTCAGGCTAGAGAAACCATTGCCTTCCATAGCTAAAATCGCAAGAAAGTTGATAAAAACAAGAAGGGAATGAAGAAGGATGGAATCACTAACAGGCAAAGGAGTGTTTCTTATAGGCACAGGAGGGGTTAACGCATGAGAGCCAAATCCTTTGCGAGAAGGGACAAAACACATGCAAAAGGACAAGAAATTGTAGTTACATTATTGATTTTTAATGTTAGCACAAACATTTACACTGGAAAAAAAACCAGCAAAACTAGTTTTGAGATGGAAAACGGTTTCAGTTTCTTTCCCTGTTGAGCCCATTGGTCCACTCCCTGCAATGTTAATTAGTGTATTACCACTATCTGTGTTTTTTTGTTTTGTAGCATTTCACACCACCAATTCCTGCATTTTAATTATTACATTACCATATAACAGTTGTTTTTATGCATAATTACCTTTTGTAGCTAACAATCACTCTTAGTTACTGTTTTATATCTATGTATTCCTTAAATCCTAAGTACGTGTTTGATGATGCGAATAAAGATTGTTTTTATCCTTAAAAAAAACATTAAATTAATGATTTTCGATATGTCTTTTTTAATAGTGTTAATTAAGAGTTAAAACAATGCAAGAAAACATCATTTTCCTTTCGAGAATATGTTCAAAATACTTTAAGAAAATCATCGAACAGTATCTACAGACTCCAGAAAAGAATTGCAGCCCATGTAATTTCTGCATTCTTAATAGATGCTGATAACAATGGTAATTAAAACTTCGCATTAAGGCCAACTAAGCACTATCATCACTGTACAAGGTAGTGATTCCAGGGTAAAAATACCTTGTAGAGAGTGGAGACAAAATTAGATAACCCACAACTCGTAGCAATTTTTTCAAACCATGGCATTAAATGATGGTGATGGACTGGTTTTTTATGCCTCTGCCAGCAACCATAACCATGAATGCAGTCAATTAGGTCTGCTTCCATTATCCATTCATGAAAATATTAAACCCTTCGACTGTAGAGGACCACATCTTAGGCCAGTGATCAATCCATGGGAGCAAAATCTTCCTCAAAACCCAGCTAGTTTTGGATCATACGGCGAAGACAATTCTTGCATTTGTTTTAATCTCTTCGAAAACATCGAGAATAAAACATGAATTTATATTTTATCTCTTCAAATCCCTATATCGAGTCAAAGTTGGACCAGCACCATGTGAGTGGCATTTACTCTTTAGGATCCAGATCCTGTATTATTCCTGCAGCTTTGTTTTCGTATCACAATTATCATGTTCTTAAGTTTTCTAAAGTTTTCCACTTGCATGGCTGCAGTAAGTAACTGAATTCAAGACTCGGCTAGTTCCTTCAAGGCGACTAGTCCCCAGCATTTTACTCATCTCTCCATATATGGGGTCCCAGTTTATTTTTATTTTTATTTTTTATCAATTGGGTTCCCAGCTTATAAAACAATTTCCAATCAAGCCCTTTTATATGGAATTATAGTAAAATTTCTTCCTAGGAACCTGTTTGGGAGTTGGCGGCTCTCCTTTTTTATTGTTTTTTTTAAATATGTTTGTTTTAAAAAATACTAAATTGATATATTTTTTAATAATTTTGATGTGTTAATGTTAAAATAAAAAATAAAAATAATTATTTTAATATATTTTTAAATAAAAAATATATTGAAAAAGTAATTTGGACCAGAAAACTAAACACGAACTAAAATACGAAATTCCCTTTAAATTGTTATTTCATTATCGTATAGATAGTTGCCTTTTTTGGAAAAATCTGAATTGGGCAATCAATTTGATTAAATCATAAGTTATGAACACAGTTGAAAATCAATCACTTTGCTTACGTTGGAGTTTCTATTTTTGTAGTAAATCCATGAACGACAGGTGGAATCCAAATCCCCATTCAAGATTCACCAGCGCTAATTTCCCTTTCCTCTTTTGACTTTCCATGTTATTTTCCCATCCTATCCATAGTTCATTCCTGTTTCTTAATCCAATCGAAAGGATAAGGAAAATTAGAAGGAACATCACTGTTCATGTAACGTGTCAGAAACCCACATACCATAGGAATCAAAGCCAGCAAACCACTCAGGGAAAACGTTTATTCAGTCCCCTAGTTTTCGATTTTATATTAGTTTGATGTTCAATATTTTTATAATCATCAATTCCCAGGGTTATGTTAATTATTGTCGAAATACACTTGCAATAGAATAAGAGGAGAATCATATCTGTCCATGATTAATATATATGTTTGTTGTTAACTGGTTTTACACCCTCTAAAAAAAAATCTACTTTTTCAAACAGTAGCGAGAGCTAAGAGACAGTAAATATAACATTAAGATAAAAGAAAATACTAACAAAGTGACCAAATTACAACAAATAAAAAAAATAGAGGAGACAAACGCACCAAACTCTGCTGAAAAAGAGAGGGAAAACCTTCCCCTCCAAGCCCCGCTCGGCATCCTTTTCTTGCTTCTACACGGAGAGTGAGAGAGGGCCTTTCTTTAACCAAAAATCCTTCTCTTAATGTCACTTTCAGTTTGTTCTTGCCTTCATCCTCAACTACTTTACTCTTCAACTCTTTCTTGTTTTTTCTAACCAGCCCATCACTTTACTCTGTTTAACTTGATCCCTTTTTTCTTGCACTTCACTCTTTTCTCTTTGTTACTGACAAAACCCACAGAAAAGAAACCAAATTTGAGTACCCATTTGTGTTTTCTTGAGAAAACCTTGAGAAAGTAACGATGGGAAATTGTTTTACAAGTTCAAAGCAATCGGTGGCAGAGTTGGCTCCTTGTGATTTCAGCAAATCAACCCCAGCCGTCCAATTATACGGTGACCCCACCAGTTCTTTCACTCTCTACCTTCATCTTGCTCTTCTTTACAAGACTAGAGCGCTTCAATTTACACCCACTAATGACCCGATTCCAGTGGTCCAATTCGGGCCTGAAACAGTTTCAGGTTCCCGAGAGATGATGGTTCGGTTCATTGATGTGAAGTTGCCGCAACCGCCGTTGATGGTGGTGGTGGAAGAGGGAGGTGAAACGGCAGCGTTGGTGGTTAAAATGGTGGCGATGCAACATAGGAGTGTGGTGTGGCATTTGGAGAGGATGGTGTGGTGGAGTGAGGATTTGGTGACACGTGGTGGGAGGAGGAATGGTGATCCGACTATGGGGAGTGCGAGGATGGAGGTGAGGAAGTTTGGGAAGAGTTATTCACAGTTGCTAGAGATCATGGTTGAGCACGCGCAGATGGAGGAGCGTGTGGTTTTTCCACTCCTCGAAACGGCTGACAGAGGTAAGGTCTCGTGTTCAAGCTACGTCCGTACACATGGTCAATGAGATATGTTCACCAGTGTCGAGAATTTATTGATTTGTTTTTAATATAATGTATTCATGCGGGGTTTTCGGAAAAAGAAATTTAATTTTTTCTTGAGACAAATTTTATTAAAATTTTCTTAATACAATTTATAATTACAGGATTCTTTTTAAAATCATTCAAAAAATAATTTAATCTTGATTGACGTGCATGCTGTTTCGGAGTACATCCTTTATCATTGAACCAACAATAAGCTTATGATCTGCAAATTGAATGTTATGATGCAGGGCTGTGTAAAGCTGCAAATGAGGAGCATGGAAGGGACCTTCCCATCATGAATGGGATCAGAGAAGACATGAAATCAATTGGAGTTCTAGACACTGGGAGCAATGACTACGGAGAGGCTCTTCGAAACCTTTCCACTCGGCTCAAATCGTTGCTGGTATAAATCTCATCACTTTTTAATTTTTGGCTTTAAGAGTCTCAGAAAATTGGCCCATCTATGCAGTGTAGTGCAAGCCAAATTTACTGCCACAACTACAAGTTCCTTGGTTTTATCAGTGCTACAGGGCTACTCAGGCTGTTATAATGTGTGTCTGTGTCTGTTTGAGATTTTTCTCGTGTTCCTTTTTCGAATAAGGTGTCTTGAGCTCTGTATATATCTTGAATAATTTGAATGATTCCATTGTGCTGATAGGAACATAGTAAAGAGCACTTCCAGGAGGAGGAGCGAGATGTATTACCATTGATGGAGGCTCTGGAACTGGGCAAAGATCAGCAACTGAGGGTATTGGAGCAATGTATTGATGTGATGCAAGGGACTCACTCGCATTTGTTGAGCTTTTATATTGAAGGTCTTCTCCCTCGAGACGCCATGCAGTACCTGGATTTGATTACAAGGTGCAAAGAGGAAAAACTCGTGGCCTCCATGCTTCGCAGGATTATTGAGTAGGGTGCAGAAGTAGCTACATTGGTATGGTACGTAGAGTGGAATGCTGGTTTTTTCTTAATGTTGATAGAGATAAAAAGAAGTCGTGTGCTCTTATATAGCTGAAGCAAAAGCTATTTGTTTTGTGGCATGTACGGCCAGTGGTGCCATTTCGAAACTGTTATTTGTAAGCAATGGAACTTTGTCATGGAATGCTAGAAAGATTACTTGGCAGAAAACACATTACAGTCAAGATTCATTTCACCGATGGACTCATTGGCATACTTCTTGCTTCTCAAACCTGTCGAATCAGAATTGCTTCACCTCATCGATTACCCGTGGCCATGGTCTGTAGAACACCTCGTCTGCAGAGTTCATTTATCCCTTTGAGAACTTATTCAGTGAGGTGGAATTTCATGTTTATGGACTTGGTAAGTCTATGATCAAACTGACTTCCAAATACCGATATCTGGTGTGATTTTGGTGAGGTGAAGGTTGATTGTTTGTTGTCTTTTAAAGGGTAGAAGGCAGGACATTTGTAATTTGCGATTGCTATACGTCTGCTTAATCTCTTATGTGTTTCGAAATAAAAAATGGTGTGACTTGATTTGATGTGAACAGCAAGAGGTATTTCTATATCTTTGATGAAGAACTTGTGGGATTCTTTTCCCCACTCGTTAATCTGGGCTTCTTTCTTTTTTTCAAAACAATATTATTTTATTAAAAAAAAACTTTTTGATATGATCGAGTTTTGTAAAATCAAGTACATCACAGACCATCTCATTAAATTATCTAAATTTAGTTAGTTAAATATCAAAACTAATTTAAATTAAAATATATCATTCAAGCCCATAATTAAAATTCACCAGATCAACCTACCATAGTATCCGGTTTTAATAAACGGTTGCAAGTGAAAATGTAACCGGTCTTCTCCAAAAGATGTAATTAGCCTCCGTTCTTAGAAAAAAGAAGAAGAAGAAACATTATTCTAACTATCTTTTCATTTTTTAGACCCAAGTCCTAGCCCAAGACTGAAACATCCTCCCTCTCAATTCTGGCGGGAGCCAAACGCCGTTGTCGGAGAAAGGGAAGTGGTTTACTTCTAGTGGCGGCTAAAGGACTTTCTCTATACATAATGGGGTCTGAATCAACTCTCCCCGAGTGGGCTCAAAGCCTTGCATTATGGGTATAGATGAAGCTGGTCGTGTTCCAGTTCTTGGCACTTTATTACTCGTACTTGTTTTGCTTCACATTTCTTTACAATCCCTTTCTGGGTTTTCTTTTCTTGTTTTCATTTGATTCTTGAAGTTTTTTTTTGGTGGGGTTAATTGTTTGTCTTTTCTCAGAACCTATGGTGTACGGATGCTTGTGCTGTGCTTGCTCATATGAGAAGACTCTCTACCCTCAACTTTGCAGGTTTTGATTTCTTCAACTTAATTTTGATCTGGGTTTTGTCTACTTTCTTGTGAAGGTTTTGTCTTTTTTTTTTTTTTTAATTAGTTCAAATTTCCTTTTGAACTGGAGCTAGAATGATGGTATGTGATGGTGGTTAATAGAATTTTTGTAAAACGTGCCATGTTTAGCCAAAAGAATATTATTTGCTTCATCTTTATATTTGAAAGTTTGGATCTTTATCAACAATGGCTATCATTAGCTGCTAGTACCCCTCAATTATGTAGACTAGAGCTTGAATAATGGAAAAGTTTTTATTTAGATTTTTATCAGAGCTTGAAAAATGGTATGCGATGCTGAATGGAATTTGGGTTGCAAAATGTTGTATTGAAGTTAAAAGAAGGATTGCATTTTAGCTTTTTTTTCGAGAGTTCGGTATTATTTTTTTTTATCAACAATAGCAATTGTAAGCTACTTGCGCCCTTTCAATACATGGCTTCAGATATGTATGGTTTTTTTTGGAAAAAAAACGATGATTCTATTTTGTTGTTTTGTTGCTTGTCGATTCAAAGACTTTAAAATAAGAGAAAAGGGAGGGGTGATTTTGAAAATCTAAAGGCTAATGAATCAATTGGATGGGCTGTTGATGTTATTGATCCGAGGGAGCTCTCGGCTAAAATGCTTAAGAAGTAAGTAGCTAATGTAATTAGATTTCTTCTGGTGTTCTTTGACTTTTTGGTAACTAAATGTTTTTCTTATCTTTTCTCTCTAGGAATAAGATAAACCTGAATGAAATATCACAGGATTCTGCTAGTGGCCTTGCGAATAGGGTGCTAAACATGGGAGTTCTTTTAACCGAGGTAAGACTTTTTCTGACTTAGAAGAGACGGGCTTTTCCCTAAAAGCATGTTTATCCAAATTCATTGTATCTCACTCTTCTCAACTAAACCTTAACATCTAATAAGATGTGTCAGTTATATAGATAATTTCCTCTATTCCTTAGAACTCATGTGCATAAGATCTTGGATAAAACATATGATTCTGTGTCAACCTTGTTTATCTGCTCTTTGACTTGCTTTGGCATCACTATCATTAAATAATGCTGCTATAGAAGTTAAAATGCTTACACGTTCACATGATTGGGTTTCAGATTTATGTGGATACAGTGGGAGATCCTGATAAATATAGAATAAAACTGTCTGAAAGTTTTCCTTTTGTCAAGTTTGTTGTTGCAAAGAAGGCTGGTAGTCTTTATCCAGTTGTGAGTGGAGCAATTATTGTTGCAAAGGTAGTGATTTCCCACCCATTTGATTCCCTTAATTTGTTCTTGCCAATATGTTTATCTTCTGTTCAACCGAGGAGGTTACAAGAGATTGGACCTTGTGAGGATGGGTACTTGATGAAACAGCTTAAAACATGGCTAGGAATTTTGGATCTGGATACCCTGGAGGTTAGCATTGCTTATTCTTCTCTTTGACGTGCAATATAACCTTCACCCTCTAAATTTTTTCTGTTTGTCTGTTGAATCTAGTTTTATTGTTGCGTGCAAATCCTGAAACTAAAGCTTGGTTGGAACAAACACGAACACTCAGTATTTGGATTCCCAACACTGTTCCGCTTCAGTTGGGGTACATGCACACCCTATTCCAAGAACATGGTTGACGTCTTGGGTCAATTATCGGTCCTTTCTTTACTTTCCCATAGCAATACCCTTCTTCTGCAGCTGCATCATTGTGCTGCGTGATGTGAGGTGCTATGTAACTCTAAAACCGAAGACAGGAACTAACTTATCTCAGCTTTTTTTAATGAGATGGGTAATATCACTTCTTTGTTCAGTCATAACTGCATCCAGGGAATGTTTTAGGGGTGAGGTCAATTTGAATGATCTATGATTATTGGGGCCTTGTTCATCCTTGGACTGGAGGAGAGTCTGAGGTTTATAGCCATACGTGTAACCTGCTAGTATAAAAGTTTGATGGACCCCCTTCAAAATAAATGTTGCTTCACAATTCCTTGCTTCTTTTTCTCTTTTGCATGAGATGCCAAAACAGGCACAAAACTTTAGTCAGTTGTCTTTGAAGGGTGCACTCCATGTTACTCGCTCATGAATATGGTCCACTTTGTAGAAAGCAGGATTGATTCTTGTATTTTCATGGGTGCCATTTGCAGTCTGAGCTGTGTGGAATTTAACAATACCTCATTTTACTGTTTTCTTTGCAATCCATTCCACAAGAAGAAAACGGTAAAGATATTGAATGTGTCATGCTTTGCTGCATTTTTCCTTTTTATTTTTAAGCAGAGAATTGGATAAATTAGTGGAAGATGGTTCTAGTAGTAGCAGTCAGAAGCGGCAACTAAAATCAAGCAGTTTTGGTGTCACAACGTCCAAGAGGAAAAGTGAGGAAACTGAATCTAGTGGTAAAAGCCGCTGCAACTTTTTCCATACTCGCAAACTTGTGCAACTTACTAATTTAGCAATGAAGTTTGGTTGCTGTTTTATTCCATACCTACAGTAACTATTGCTTACCTTCATATAAATGAATCGAAGAACTATCCCAGCATGCATCTCTTACAGAAGTTTAACTGAATATATAGTATGCAGATTCTAGAATGTAGCCTGATGGTTAAGGATGAATTTTAACCTGGAAATATCATGGGAATTTTTAAAAAGAGGCCTTCAGAAATTATGTTTTTTTAGTCGTGCATATCAACTGTTTTCTTTAAACGCAGAGGGGAGGTCTGTTTCCATTCAACTATCCAGGACTACCTCAGAGTTAGGTGAGAAACAGGCTATTTACACTTGGACTCTGACGGTGCTGGATGTTTCTGGCCCTTGAGCAGCAAACTTGGGTGTGATTGCTACACGAGCTAATTGCAAGCACATTGACTTAACATGATGTACAAAGTGCACAAACACAGACTTGTATATTACTGTAAGGCAGGCTCCAAACACAACCCGAAACTGAGTGACAAATACCATTATTTTTAGCGTAATGGGTCATTCTACACTTAGCTTAATGTACAATGAGAGCAACAAAGGTGGTTGTAATCAATGTAGGCACGATGCAGTTCACTTGGCGGCTGCCAGCATTGTGGTGGTTGTTTGGTCGGTGATTAGCTGCAGCACCTGCTATGACAACCGGGACGACTGCTCCACCTCCTTGTGCTTCGCCAGCACCATTTGCATCGTCAGCTGCCCCAGTTGCTCCACCACCATGTGCACGTCCATGAGCTGAGCCGCCATGTGCAAATTTGCTGCTGTGTACTATGCCACTTCTTTCGTTAGAATCATCGTCAATGCTACCGATGCCATGTTCATGTGTGCCTGCAGCTCCCAGATTATTCTCCTGCAAAGTATCTGTCCTGGATCTCCCTTGGCAAAAAAAAAAAAACAAAAAAAAAAGTCCACATTGAGTGAGTTAATCCAAATGAACCCATATCAACGTGTGTCATTTTGATTATTTTTTAAAAATTAAATAGAGCTTTAACTAGAATAATTAAATCATAAATTAATATGTTATGTAATTTAAAGTTAGCTTATCAATTTCTACTTAGTTTTTAAATCTAAACCGAGATAGATATGCAGTCCACCAAACCATGTTCAGCAACAATTTTTTGTGTAACTTATACGTGGCTAGCAAAAAAGATTACAAACTTCTTATTCATCGTTTGCTAATCATGATATTGTCGTGCAGGCATCGTTTCTTATTCTTACAGAGGTGAGAGTATACCAAAAACAGGAAATTTCTTATAGAGAATTTTCGAGGAAATTTCTTATAGTAAAGTTTGCACCATTTAATGTTTGATTCTATACTGCCTTGAAATTATCAAAAAGAGAGCTTTAAAAGGTGTCTGATTCTCCCTTTTTTATTTTTGTTTGTTCATGCATTTGACTAATCACTACTGCAAGATCCTTTCCTTCATTCAATTCCTAACTGATACTTCGGTTGATTGACAGAGAGGGAATTCTATAAGAATAATTTTTGAGAAAGTAGATTACTTTCTATGTTAAATTATTTGGGAAATAGTGTTTTTGGGTTATTGAATCTTTTATAAAAAAATAATAATAATGTTTTTTAAAATAATAATACCAGTTATTAATTTTTGAGAAGATAGATTACTTTTAATTCTTTACTCTATCCCGACTTGAAAGATAGATAATGTGTATATTATTTCAAAACTAAGTTCGAAAAGAATGATCTTTCTTGCTTGACTGTGGCATGAAGAAACGAGTTGAAAAGGGTTTTCCAATGTTTAAAGTTCACGATGAAAGATTAGATTACAAGATTTAACAAGGTTTTCGTAATTAGCATGGAATACTTAAATATAAATAAATCCATAACTTGAATAGAGTAAACTTAATTTTCATTTATTTTATTATTAACAGTTCAAATTATACTTTTTTTAAAAAAAGAAGAGAGGGTGAAATCCGAGAAGTAATATAGAATGGAAAAGGTATAGCCAAAACGTTCATACCACACAAAAGGTGATGAACAACGAACTCCAGAATAATTTAATTAAAATTGCAATGTATAGCCATCCACCCTTTCTCCTCTTTATTATTTATGTTTTTTTATTGGCTAATTTTCCAAAATAATTCAGAAAAAAAAAACACCCTTCCTATAATCAGACGACCAAGTATTATTAGCAAAGAAATTAATAATTGGTGCTTGTGTTTCTCCTCAAACCCACCTGCTCAAGCATCAGCTTTCATGGACACCGGCGTTTTCTGGCTCGTCTTAGAGCCCTTAATCTACTACCTCTCTACTCGAACGAAAAACAAAAACAGCGACTCAAGAAATTCTCTTCTTTTTGGAAGGCTACTAATAAAAAAATATATAAACTCTGCTCTCCTCGAAAGAAGGATACCTGGAAGGAAGGGCTTATCGTCGAGTGGTGTTGAAGATGCAGACAGGCATAAGCTGGTGATCACGAGGAGTCCAAGGAGGAATCCCATCTTCCCTTTGTATTGCATGAAAGGTGCTTGTAGAGCTCTAGCTTCTCTGTAACCTCCCTGTGGAACTTCATCCTCTCTCTTTCTAGGTAGACCACCTAGCATATATTGTAGGGCTGTCTTAAAAGTGTTTAAAAAAAGTGTGAAGTTTTTTTATTTTATTTTAAATTGATATATTTTTATTAAAATGAAAAATATTAAAAAAGTAACTATTACTATATTTTTAAATACACACCGTTTGAAAATCTGAATTTTTTATGTTTTTAAATATATTTTTTTTTAAATAAATTCAAAAAAAATTACCTCAATTATATTTATAAGCACCCTCAAAAACGAGGAGCGAGGAGACAAATGTGAAACCTTGCTTTATCTTTTTATCACCAAACCAAACCCAAGTGGGCATGGATTCCTAGGCATCGAATGTCTTCCACTCGAGTCTTTCAAACAGAGACTTGCCTTGTTCTCTCTCCATGGTATCTTTCCAGGCCACTAGATTGCGGTGGAGATGAGGTTTCTTCTTCTTCTTCTTCTCCTCCTCCTCTTCTGTTGCTTTTGATGGGTACATGGTATTATCCTGGTTGTTTTAGCCATCAGATTTTGTGTACTTTTGGAAGTTCTGAGGCGCACGCAATTTCCACTTATTAAAGCCTTTTGTTTTCTTGGCACTGCTTTCTTTTTTAATAATTGATCCGTGCTTGGAGACTGGAAGAAGCAATGCAAGCACCTAGTGCTGCTGGGCCAACATTAGCTCAATGGGCCCGCCTATATCAATTATCCTTTATTAAACCAATATACTTTTGTATGTATTAATTATTGGTGATGATCGGATGAGCTTGAATATATAAAGGATTAAGATAATATAATCTAAAATATTTTAAGAAAAACAAGAAACAAATTTATCTATTAAACCTACATCAACTGTGTAAAGTAGTTCAAATATTGGATCTATTTAAATAAATATAAAATATTGATTCTTTCATCATAATTCCATCAACTCTTCTCTTTTTTTAATCAAATATTAAACAATATTGACATAAAAAATCATTTGTTTTGAATAACCCATATAAATGAGTTTTCAGGCCCAATACCCCTTGAGTCCAATCTGAATGAAGCCCACTGAGACTGCCTTCTACGGGTCCAGCCTAGATCAAGAATGTAGCGAAACAAGCAACCAAACACACCCTAAATCCAAAAACCCTAGCAACTCACACCTATAAATACTCCCTGCAAGCCGAATATCTTCGTTTAGCTAAGCCCTGGTTGCTCTTAATCTGTGACTTCATAACCCTAGAGATATAATCTCTGATCTATCAACATGGTAACAATGTCCAAACCACTATCCTTTAAATTTTCCAGGCTTCCAAACGGTTGTGTATAATGTTTTCATTCATTGATCTGTGGGTTTTTTTTCTTTTTTTTGTAGGCACCAAAGAAGGAGAAGGCTCCTCCTCCGTCTTCAAAGCCAGCAAAATCCGGGGGTGGCAAGCAGAAGAAGAAGGTACAACAAATCACAGGCTCCTCTTTTTTTTTGGTTATTTAGTGTGTTAAGCCTTGAATGATTTTCTTTTGTTGGTGTTATTGCATATGAGAAAAAAAGAGAAGACTTTGCTAGGGAATTTTGATACTGGTGATTCGGTGCTAATGGCATAGCTGGCGTAGTGTTTTTTCTTGTTCTGATTTGCTGGGGTTTTATGTGCAGAAATGGAGCAAGGGAAAGCAAAAGGAGAAGGTGAACAACATGGTTTTGTTTGATCAAGCTACATACGATAAGCTACTTTCTGAAGCTCCAAAGTATAAGCTTATCACTCCTTCTGTCTTGTCTGACAGATTGAGGGTATGTTCCTTCTGCCCGTCACCACTTTTCTCACATGCTGTTAGTCTTAATTGTTCACATTAGCCTTTATGCTCTGTGTTTTTAGTAAAGGCTTTTTTTTATTGAGAATGAATCTTGTGTTGTTTTTGGAAATTACTTATTTAATTTGGATCTGCTGGCATTGAGCTTCTATTGTGCTGAGATAGATTGGTGCATTTCACAAGAGGCACATCTTGCTCCAAAAAGCTTTTGATTTGATGTTTTCTTGTGTTTCGCGAAGGTTAGGTTAACATCAAAATGTGGATACCTATTAGGATACTATGAAGTTACATAATCTTTTGTTGAATTCCTTGTCTTCTGGCACACAAAACATCCTACAATTGAAGTTTTATTTTTACCTGCAACACTTTTCTTTGAAGGGAAATTTAAGAAGATTAGCCTGAGATTATTCATCAACGTCTCATTCTAATTCAATGTGATATCATAACCAGCCATTTCTGATCTATCATGCGTACCTTATTTCAAAATGATCTAGATTCCTGCCTCTGAGCCAGGATGCTCTTCTTTCTTTATTTTTTGTCCTTCCACTAAATTATGATGATCTGGTGTCTTCTTGGTGCCTTGCATTTATTGCCACTAGGCACTGGTTATATTGACAGGTTTGTTTTATAACTGAATTTCAGATTAGTGGCTCTCTTGCACGCAAAGCTATCAAGGATTTAATGGCCAGAGGATCTATTAGAATGGTCTCTTCACATGCCAGCCAACAGATCTACACTAGGGCTACCAACACCTAAGAGACAGAATCTTAGCATTCTCCATGTTATAGAGAGGAAGCTAGTTCCATTTTTGTTTCTTTATCATTTCTCTCCACCAGTTATATGTTGGGAATGAAGTTTTGATATGTTTATTTCTTACATTGCAGAACTTAATTTCATGCTTAAATTCTCGTACATTAGCAATACTTTTACTGACGTGGGTTCTCTTTTTCTTGTTTAGACCTTCAACAGATCAATCTTTTTATGTTCTCCAAATCGAGGGCTTTAACATTATATTTTTAGGATCCAATCTTTTTCCAGTTTAGACCTAAATTAGGAATTATGCAGGTTTAGGATCCCTGTTCTTTATATTTTTAAATAACAGCTTGATATTGGGGAATGATTGCATGCCTTGCCTGCAGAGTAGTTTTGAAAACTTCATCAAAAGCCTTTCGAGCCGGATCCCAGGGGGTTTTTGGCATTACTTTTGAATTTGGGTGCTCTTAAAAAAAAATTGATTTGAAAAAAAATATTAAATTAATATCTTTTAAAGTGGATTTTAATTTTTCTAACCGTGCAGTGTACTCAATCAAAAACATAAAATTGAACTATTTATTGCGACGTACCAACAGGGTCTTACTTTCAAGACCTCTTTTTTTTTTTATAAGATTTTACCTGTTTAGAATTATAGTGATGATTATAATTTAAAATATTTTTTAATAAAAAAAAATTTTAAGCTTTTTGAAAATATAATTAAAAAATAAAATAACATAATTTTAATTATGTTTCCGAACAAAGCCTATAAGAATCAGCTCGTTTGGGTTATGATGTTTATTCAAGACAACTTGGTGAAGAATTATTTTTAAAATGGTGGTGTTTAGGTTTTTTATTTTAAATAAGGAAATTGGTTAGTGTTGATTTGATGGGATTTAGACTGGGTTTGGTCTAGGTTACTGAGAAGTGAGAACTTAATAAAAATGATTAAATTTTAAAAATGCAGCCTAATTTAATTTCCAAGTTTTGAATTTATCGAAATTCATCAGATAGGTAGACTGGATTTAAGGTATATACCTTTTAAATTCAAAATCAATTGGCACCCGA